AAGGAGTCATTTCTAGGCTACCTCCCATTTTATTTCAATTAAAAAAGACGGTGGAACAGCAGCTCAGAAAGTCGTTCAGGTCTGCACTTTATACACGTATCATCTCGTTAACTGCTAATTCAATTGAGTAAGGAATTCACCTTATGCAATTATGAGTTTCCGGCTGAAAGAAGGGTGGCAATTCCAAGAGCTGTGAACAGTAACTACAGTAGGATATTTCAGAATGGTCAGGCAAAAGCGATCATTACTTAAGCCATGCTGCCTGATGCGTTCGTGTAATGGCGACAGTTTCTTTAAACTTATCTTTTAGCTGCCCAGAAATGTAATTTAAAATGTACTGCTGACTGTTCTGTTTCAACATAGAGTATTGGCCAGAAAAAACATCAGATTTATCGAACATCCTTTGCTTTTTTTTCACTCCGATTGTTATTTACTTTTCATGTGGTCGCAAAAGCAAATTAAACAAACTTAAATTTCAGCACAAATACTGAGCGAATAAGTAGCCATCAACGTTTTGACGTCATCAGTCCTACGGGGTCCAAATTTTTCTTTCGTCTCTTGAGTGAAATGTCACCCTTTTACTGCGAAAAAAAATAAAATTCATAATCCACAGTTGTTTTTTTTCTTAATTTAAAGTTATCAATGAGATTTAGGGCTTGTTTCATACACTAAATTCTCTGTATTTCAGGAATTTACTGCAATCATCATGAACCCTCGAAGGAAGTAGTTTTCGAAACTCACGACCTCATAGTGGAGTTTTGCACCAACTCTGCCGTAAATGCGAAAGGGTTTTCCCTTCGCTGGGAAGCAACCGATCGTCAAGCTACCGCATTAAATCAGGAACAAAGCGTGAAAACGAAAGCGGCACAGGCAACATCTGGCAACTGTGGATCTGCCATAGAGCTGGGGCCTGACGAATCGATTGAGATCGTCTCACCATCCTTTTCTACCGGTGCTTATCCGCCGGATGCCAACTGTAATTGGAGCGTTAAAACTTCGACGAACTACCTGCAAATTAAATCGCTGTTGTTCAACGTCGAGGGATACACAGTGGACTGCTTCTACGACAAACTGACAGTTTCATTCTGCGACAAGTACGGTGGGCAACAGGTGGTCGATTACTGTGGCTCGCGCCCGGGCTCAGGTCCTGAACTGATGATCAACAATTCGTTCAACTGCGACATAAACATGCATTTCCAATCCGACAGCATGATACAGCAGCAAGGTTTTAAACTGCGACTGTGGGCTTTCATCCCTGTCACTGACCTGAAAAATTCTTCGTTGGTCACTCGTGATGAATCGGTCACTCTTTACTCATTTGGATATCCAATGGCGTATCTACACCGCATGGACACCTACCAAACAGTTTACCAGAACGAGGGTCCAAATACTGTATTAGTGCTTAAGTTCCACCATTTTGATCTTAGAGATAACGAAGACTTTTTAAAAGTTGGGTATGAACCATGGCATCAACAGTCTGGTGAACAGATGTGGCCTCTGCTGTATACCGGCGTCATTCCCAGCAATTTCAGCGCGACAATATCAGCCAGGCAACTATTGTTTCACTTCACCAGCGTTGGCGGCATGGTCTATGACCACAGCTATCTTATCGAAGTCGAACTTCAACCGCTAGGTAATCATATACTTAGATTTATGTTCTTATAAAGAGGCAACCTAAAAAACTGAAGACAATGCTCTTCTCGTAAAATGTGTCAGAGAATAGGTTGTGTTCTGAAGCAAAATGATAACACAAATCAGTGGATTAATTATGTAACGAAACCGTCAGTGACTGGTCATGTTGAAACGTAGGTAGCGCCAGCAAGGAGCCAGTTCTTGCCATTTACTGCGAATTACCCGCGGAATAACCCTTTCACTAAAATATGCCTGAGTGAGACATGATTTGCTTAATAATACATAGCTGCACAAAGCCTCCCTCCCAAAAGCGCAGCCTTTGGTACGACGTCAAAGCTTTCATCTGTAGATATAGAGAATTGTAACTGATAAGTTGGCATGTTTAGCAGAACCTTGGTCCCCAGTGCGACGTTTTACTCCCTACCTATATATTAAATTTTTTTGCATTTTTCTCCATAATTTTTCCCACAGCGATAATTTTCTTCAAATCTTTATGTAGTCCGGCAAGGGACTTCCTTTAACCCCATCGACCGTTCATATGGAAACATATTAAGGAGTGAAATATTCAGTAGAAGCAGTAATCTACTAGCATCTTGGATATCGAAATTTGCAGACATCAAACACAACAGGTAATTGTCGCAGAATATATTCGAAGTAGAACGCACGGTAAATTAAGTGCTAAATGGACAAGCTTAGAAACTCCCTTGCAGCGTTGTTCAAAGCTGATGCACATGAATTATAGCATTAGGACGTCGGACTGACATCTTAACTTTTGCTCCTGCTTACTATCTCAGGCTAATCTTAATAAATATTAACCATTCAAACAGATCTTTCTCAATGCAAACAACTTTGGGGGGGGACACTCTTTTATGTTATTCCGAGGTTTTGGCTTCCGGCACAAAAGCCATCATCAGCAAAATTTTTCACAACAGCGAAAACGTTGGGATAAAACAAAGGAGTATCATATATGTCACGTCTGAGGTCATTTGCATTGAGAAAAAGTGAGGAGATTTATAATCTTGGCGTCAACTGAAAAATGACATTCCAAAATAGCGAAACACTAAAATATTTTAGTGTCTTTGGAAGTTAATTCATGAGTAAATCCTTCCTTACCTTGGTGTGTACCACCAAAAAGGTCTTGTGCGAATGATATCGGTCAGTCATGTTTACTGTATGTAACTAACCTTAAAAAATAGGGTTTTCATCGTAGATAAAGAAACATCACCAACGTTCATATATTACTGCATCGGTCAACCTCCTTGAAAGTACGTACCTCGGGCAGAACAGTCACAATGTCAAGGACTGACCGCCTGTCAGTGCATATTCAAATCATAAGTTTAGTTATCTGTTGGCCTCACAGACTCAAGAGTGTCTATTGGTCTTTCGCTTACCACATTTGAGGGACTTTTCTCTGTCGACTTCAAATTCGCTTATTTTCAGCAGAAATGCTACATGGTCTTCTTTTGAGACCGCAAGGACAAGGGCAGGGAATGTGTGAAAAATACTACATCTTCCGGCCTGGTGCAAATATTTGGCATTGCATCCACACTTTTGACTATCTCAGCAGCAAACAGTCGTCGTCGGGATCGAAGCAGGCCCAAAACCCTCAAAGGAATCGGCCTTGCATCCTTTCGTTCTTAGTTTTTACACAAAATCTTGGCCAGGCTGACCGATGGCCTCGTCGCCCGATCGTCAGCTTAGGTCGTCAATGAGATATGCCCAAAAACGCATGGCATGAAGACTGATACGGACGCCTCGCATACCCATCTCTATTATCAACAATCAGACCAGTGGCGGAGGTAGCCTACTTACTTCCATAATGGCATAATTTAACAAGCACTCGGCAGACACCCAGCTACATATTCCGGATGTCCTTTCCTGCTGCTCTCATCGCGTAACAAAAGGACATGGATATGATTTGTGCAATGGCTCATGGTCGATTACATGCATAT